GGTCAGAGGGATCCTTGGCAGAGGCATATGTTTCCCTGGCTAAATGCCTACACCCTGTGAACCCGCGTGGCCTGAGCTCAACCTGGCACCATATTGTTTTTAAAGCTTGGCAGATAAAAATAAATTTAAACACTGATCATAGTGTGCATGCACAGCGCTGCAAGCACTCAGGCCCGCAAGACAATTTTGATCTCCCGGGAGACTTGCCAGGTCAACGTATCGTGACCGTCTCATAAAAAATACACTTGTTATTCTAGGCAGTAGTTCATATCTACAACAAAACCTTTTGATTCATTGAAATAAAAATGCAGTTGGACAAAGTGATTAATAAATTAGCACGCGTTAAGTTATTTTCGCACCCATTGTAGCAACAAATTCAGATGAAATGTATGAGCGTATAACTAATGTAAAAAAAAACAGTGATAATCTATATGGTTCTTTATTTCTATGTAAAAAATAGACAATTTAACTATTCAAAGGATCATATAGATTTGTAACTCATGACTACCAATATTTTACATGGAAACATTACCCCCTAAATCCTATTGCATCATTCCAAAATTCACTATAGTTCATTTATTGCATCATCCCTGAACATTTCCTGATGATGCGGCATGATACATAATGCCAGAGATTAACCGAGCCAATATTAAGACACGGGATTTTCCCTGCCGTTTGTGGGATTTTCTATAAAAATGAACAAGTTCAATTTACCTCTCAGTTGCAATGCCTAATGAAAGATTATTGATTACTTAGTCATGTCAACAAATCACTTGATGCGTGATGATTTTGCAACAAATCGATCTAAGTGTCAAATATTTCTTAATGAGTAGAATGAGAGAGATATTAACATGAAGGTAAATAGCCTATTAATTCTGCGGCAGAGAAATGCCAATAATTTACGACTGCCTAAAAATGCGAGGCTCGTTTTCAAAACTGTAGGGCGTAGGCGTACTTTCAGCGCTTGGGAATTGCATCATGTGAGAGTGCGTTGTGCAGCGTGTCATTGTTCACGGTGCATGTACATATTGTACAGTTTTCATTGAAGACCAGAGAGTATTTCTTATTGACAATTTTCTTATTATTTTTCTCGATTCGGCGAATTAGGCTCTTGATAGGAAGTGAAAATCCAAATATCAGGTTTCCAAGGGACATTTTATTATAATTTTACCACGTTTCGAATGCAACTTCATTCATTATCAAGTAGAGGACGAGTTTTGCAACAAGTGAATTTGAAATTTTGAAATGACAATAGTACAAACATAGGGTATTATGGATACAGATTGGAATCAAAGCTTGAATTACGAAAACAATTTTAACGTCCTGACAAATCCGGTAGTTTGTAAATTAATAGCTGGAGAATCGAGAAAAATAATAAGAAAATTGTCAATAAGAAATACTCTCTGGTCTTCAATGAAACCTGCATTAAAGAACAGCTTCTGCCAAACTACACAAATATTGTACAGTGTACACAAGTAGAGTGCGTACACGACGTACTGTGCATATGCGTGGTGCTTTGTACACAAATAGTGTGCATAATGTAGGTGTGTGTGTGTAGCGCAGTGTATACGTACACAAGTAGTGTGCAAGGCCTCACCCTAGCCAGCCACTTCTCGAACTTTCTGCCCGCGACCGCGGTGCAAGATTAACTCCAAGGCAGCCATTAAGTAGTTATGAGTCTAACGTGGCGTGTACAAAATTCGTGTTTGCTCACGGTGTTGAGTGCGTGTAAACCAAGTTGCGAGTACACACGACGCTGTGTACATTTACAGCCAAGTAATTTCTGGCTGGCTATGTCTGGCTGGCTATGTCTCGAACTTTCTAAGTGGAAGTTCGAACTTGAATTTCCTCTTCGTCTTTAAGCCCCCGTCCACACGTTCAAATTTATCGTCAGTCATGCATGTCGTTCCAAGTTTGACAGAAAAGACAGCGTGTGGACACTAAGACTGAAGTCTTGCATGACAGATTTTAGGTTCAACCTGGAAGTGACGGCTAGGCGAGACCTTTGGGTACATGCACGGATGAAAGACAGACACAAGTCAAGTTTGAACGTGTAGAGGACAGCTGACTAATTAGTCAAACTTCTCATCTGCTATCTGTAAAGTTGATAAGAGCTGTCTAATTATTTTCTTCAGGCTCTAGTTTTGCAGGATAAAATGACATCGCAACTTCCCTTTAAAGCATGAGTGCTAGATAAATACACAAGAAAACAATCTTGCTGATTACTTAATTTACACATTGATGGATTCTTATTTCAGAGTTTTTATATATACTTTCAAGTACATGGTATTATTTTACTCAGATCCTGCTTTTAAATTATAGTTGTGAGTTGGAGGTCTTGGTAGCTTTGCCCGGTTGCCAAAATGATCGCAGTGGCCAGACTCATTGTAGCATCGCTTTCTTGGTTGTATGGTGTTACAGTCTCCAATATTTCACGACAGATTTCCATGCCCATACGCAAGTAATTACAGCAATCTGATGGGATGCATTGTAATTCATGTAAAAATTCATGAGAGAATTTTCGTCTAAGCATGACTCATTGTTATGACCACTGCATACGTGTACATCTCTTCAATGTGATATTATTTGCGCTAATTGAGATCTCTGTGTAGATCAACACTACCTCGTACATTATCGAGCAAGCACTGAAATGAAGAAAAGTTTGAATCGTGCAGTCGGCCGTCTTGTCTTACAAGTTTGACATGATCACTTAATTTTGAATGTTAGTTTGAACATGTGGTCCGTGCATTAGTCGAATGAAAACTTAACTGATGCTCAGTTGAATTAGATCAGGAAAAGTCAAGGTCACAGCTCGTTTAGAAAAATCTTTATTTGACTATTTCTAGGGAACCCATTGCCAACCCAAATCTCAGTGCTAAGATATTCACTGGAATGTTTTTGTTCAGGATAGGTTGTATTCGCCGAGCCTTCATCAACACTTAATATCGTGGCACAACAGGAGGAAGTACGTGGTTTATTGCTGAAGGGATATAAATCCTGGTCCGTCCTCTAAATCCCACATGCCACTACGAGAGATAGCGATCAATCTGCAGTGTAATTTTGGACCACCCGAACATCGCGTAAACTTCTTCTATGGAGCTTCTCATTTCATTCGCGCATTTTTCTCCAACTTTAAACTCACATATTAAAGCTAAATAGCATGCTATATGGGACGTTTCAAATTTACATAGCCTCTGGTTTTCCTACATCCTGGTAACTGGATCCCTTCATCCGCCCTTCCAATTTCTTTGCTGTCAGTGACGGCCGACTGAAGAGACAACTAATTTACTCATATCGATCAATGGCTACTCAATGACCCATTTAAGAAAGCTCTCCACGAGCAGTCTACGACGTAGTTCGACCACACTCTTCAATACTGACGTCTTAAAGTTAAAAATATACATATATTTCGTGCCATGCATGCGCTTTCTTTCAAAGAAGCCCGTTCTTCTAATTAGAGCCCCCGGACCCCCCCCCTCTCTGCTCCCCCTTAGTCGCCCCACTCCCCGGCCGAGCAGCCACCTGGCATGATGCAAGCCGGTCGGCTGGCTGCCTCAGGCGCGGTGCCGGCTGATGAAACAAAGACTTAGTTCAAGTCACGTACACAGCCCTAGTCGTCACGTACACAACGAAACAGCCCTATATACCCGCTACCATAGATTCGTACACAACTGAAAGAGTCTTTAGTACAAAGGAAATTGTGTGACATTAAGCATATACAGTCACGTATGGTTGAAAGTACAATTACTCCGTCTGATACGAGGGAAAACGCATATTGTAACACAAAAAGGGCACGTATGATAAAAAGTAGTTACGCTGTAGACAGCAGCATTGCTAGTCGTACTCTATTGGTTTAGAATTTAGAATTATACATTGCTGCAGCTATTCATCATGGAGCGCCTACTAAGTTTTGCATAGCGCATACCTAGTTGTGGTCAAGATATATTATCAGTTGCTTTACCTAATAAGTGAATGTAATTAATCAATTTTTAATTTTAGGAAGGATTGAAATATGCCATAATTAACGAATATAGAAACAATAGAATATTAAATGACAATGAGTAGAATTTTAATTCGATTGCTATCAGTCCACGACTCCGCGTCTATCCTAGATCATACTCTGGAAAAGTTAAAGCAAACACTGCTCATTCAGTTCATTAACTGTCAAAACTTGATCACAAGAGATCTAAAAATAAATAAATTACTATGCATTTTTATCGAATGTGAGAGCGCTTGAAATTGTGACAAAAATTGATAATACGTCTTGTCCCGTTGTTGTTGCTAAGCTCTGACGGCAATTGATTTGTTGAGAACAAAGGAGACCCGTAGAAAATTTGGTGTAGCTAAAAGATTTTCTTATCCAGTGCCAGTACGAGGCCACCGGGTACGGAATTTAATCAATTTCACAAAACTGAGACAAAAGCTTTTTGTGTGTTTCCTATCAAATCCCTTATTTGTTTATCACATTCACATCTTCAATTCAAGATATTCCTTCGCGAACAAACGAACGCATCCTCAGGGTTCACCGGGTATGTGCCTCGCCGAAAATTGCAAAAAGTCCCTAAGTCTAGGGTAAACGCAGAACAATGATGATTGAAATGACTTTGTTCGGAGTTGATGAATTTCATCTAAAGCAGTTATGAGTTTGAACGGTTTTACATAATAAATCATTATGGTTGTTTAAAATTGTGATCTGGCGCACAAGAATGTAAAGTTGCATTCAATGTCATATGAATCCTTTGTTCCTTTCGAAAATTTCACTTTGGAAATTAAGTTTCAGGAAGCTAATGTATGAACGTTTTCAAAAACTATCTTTGAAACAGATTTATATAAAATTCAAATAATTGTCGATGTATTGTTTGCTTCATCTTCTTTGTCTCAGAAATTGAATACATTTTACATTTAGGGTATTTCTAATAAAGAGAAAACAAAATATAGCGCTTGAAGCAATGTTAGTTGCCAAACGTCGCCACTTGTGAAGCTATAAAAGTTTTCGGCACAGCGACCAAGGTTCAGTTCGAGTACGTACAAGCTAAAGTAAGGAGGTGTGTAAACAAAGCTCCAGTGGTTTCTTTGTTGAACATCGGAAAGGCCTGTAAGAAATCAGGAGAACATTCACAATGGTTGACACACAAATAATGGCCACTGGATTAAATTTCTCTGGAATCGGGGACATATTAGGTCCTCTACAAGTCTCTGAAGGTAAGCCGATTTTTATTACTATGTATTCAAACCTTCGCGTTTTGAAATCAGCTGGAGAAGTGACTACTGAAGTGTTCAGACCGGCTGCACTCACTGTTGCTAGGCGAGCTAAGAGCCCGAGTGCACCCCCTGCCGGGAAGTGCTGCTGTTGCGCTTGCGGCTGTGCAATTAACTTTCACTATTTTGTTTTGTTTATTATTAACTTTCAATTCAAACGTTCCTCAAGATCAGGATTGATTTTCTTGACATTTCGATTGTTGTCTACTATGTCTAGAGTCGTCACTCGTCAGTCTTCATTCTAGTTTTTGTCGCCTCTTTGAGTAATTCAGTTGACCTAGAAAATTTGCATAACGATTCTATTTCAATTTTTTTAACCAGTCATTCAAGTCATTACATTATTGTTGCCATTTCAAACACTTGCTATGATCACCAAATGTTTTTGGACCTCGGAACTGTAACATCGAAAACATATGGTTGAGTGAAAATTCTTCCACTTCTATATTCTGTTGATATTGTATATTGAAATTTTCATTTCTTTGGTATTGGTGCATTTAAAAGGTATGTTTCCATGTGAAATTCTACTTTGTTTCTTATTAAGTCACAGCACATTTTCACTTTTCCAGTGTTGCATTATGCATATGTTGGTAAAACGCTCGAAAATGACGGCGACACGCATTAAATGTTCAGTAGTCAGTACAAAGAAAATTTGTTGGGGATAATAGTTACCCATGTATTATTCCACAGGCCGCAATTTATGTTCTACCTGACTATATTTATAATTAGAAAATGAATGTTTTTTTTTGTTGCGACTATTGTATTTTGTTACGACTATTGTACTAACGAACATGTTTTTGTTGACAGATAAAACCATGTACACATCAGGAGATTGCCAAGAAAGCCCGCCTTCAGACTACTGCCAGATCACGAAGAGTTGCGTTTTGAATCTCCTGGAGGAAGGTATAGCGCCGGCCGACCAGCACCTACTGTTGCCGCCCGGCTTATTAGACGACGTAACCAACGCCATCTGGAAGATGGCTGTTGATGAGCCTTGCGGGTTCAGGTAAGCTTACTCATTGTATTTATTTCATCGTGTATAAGGAGTAAATAGTATATTTTGACAGATGAAAACTGGGAAGTATTAGTTGCTTGGAATCTTGTTTTGATATCGCCTATCGCCAAGGAGTACTTCAGCGACTTGGTCCTTACATTGAAAATATTTTCAGATTTATATCGCTTAAGAATTGCTTCCCAGGAATAATCTTTCATGATATAGTTGAAATTTATACTGCTAGAATGATGCTTCCCTTAGTTTATTGCTCCTTATCTTTCGTATAAATCTTGGCGAGATCACCAAAATAATGTTTACTATTGTTAATGAATATGATTTGATTTCAATGGCCGTTTAAGTTTTAATTGAGACTGTTTTCCTTGCAGGGGTTGCGTGTTGAACATAGTGCTCTGCAATGATGCCTCAGACAGCGAGCCTAAGAAGAGGCGTTCTCTACTGCACTTGAAAAACAACATACTTGTTACCCACAAAATCACCATCCTTCTGTATCCGGACACTAGTTCATGGTTCTCCAAAATGGCTCGCCTGTTCCGGGCGAAGAACACAGTAGTCGCATCCCATTTCTCGTCAGAAATATCTCGGATGTGTTCCTTCGATTATTAGATTCCATGCAGCAATCGCGCAGTTTTTCAAATATCTTAATGTAATGAAAAGCTGTCATTGTATTGTGTGATAATTTTATTTTCTGCAGCAATACTTTAAGTTGTAGAGTTTGCGTTGGAAATCTTTCTGAAGTTTTCCTTTCATTTTGATCTCATTTCTGTTATCTACTGGTCAAGTGATTGTTTTCTCGTGACCATGTTTTCTCGATTGTTTACGGCACTGTGATAGCTAGCGAATCTTTGGTTCTAGTCGGAGCTTCTTTTTGTGAACTACTGTGTTGAATGTTCGACTGTCATTTGCGAGTCTTACGTGTCCGTAGCACAAACCTAGTTTAGTGACATAAGTCTTTCAGTAGCTCTTAAGGTATATTTTGGCAGGAATTTTTATATGCCATCTCTTCCAAGTTGAGAGGCTTCTGTAATCGTCGGACCCGTCCTTGTAAGAGGAAATATTTTACTCAAGTATAAGAAAAACCTATGACTACTTAGTTTCACTTCAATCCTTGAATATTGCTTTATTGGTAACGCTTCGGCTTTTGATAGCGATGCTGGAATTTGCTGCAGTAAGTGAACTTGGCTTCAAATACCTATCATACCATATTCACGGTGACATGGGGCAATGTGTGACGGAAGTTTTGTTGAGAAAGAAAAAACAAACATTGAAGGTGAGAAAATTTTTGCACCAATTTAAAAAAAATTAGCCATTTGCTCAGGGATAGCAGAAAAATATGAGCTCTTGAAACGAATGCAGCTCCCATTTAGTTCGGGGAAACCCTCGAATGTTAAGGGTGTCAATAGATCTTCATATGTATTTTACTTCAAACTAAGAAATATAGGTTTTTATTGGGAACCTATTCATGGGTTTATGATTAATTCTTGAAACAATTTGTCACATGGTGTCAAGACAAGTGCGTATATCGTACCTATTGCGCCCATCACTTTATTGTCAAATTTATCGCAGCCTCTGTTGCCTAGTATAAAATAGTGAACTTGAGTTTCAAGAACAAATACATGGAACAACTATACAGTGTGCGTTTATCGAGATGTTGCGATAAATTTGAAAATAAAGTGATGGGCGCAATAGGTACGATATACGCACTTGTCTTGACACCATGTGACAAATTGTTTCAGGAATTAATCATAAACCCATGAATAGGTTCCCAATAAAAACCTATATTTCTTAGTTTGAAGTGCGTTTATTTTTTTAAGAAAGGAACATTTAACAATACCTTGATGAGCGAGTGAATATTACCGTAGACTTTAACACCGCATTCTATTGGATAGAGAGACACATAGGAATATTTCTGAACAATTCTGAGCAGATGTTAATTTAACCGAGGAAAAAATGTTGAATAAGTATTCTATTATTAATGTTAGTGTAGTTAGGCAGAAGTTCTTCATTTATACAGGTTTGATTGAAGACCAGAGCGCACTTTTTATCAACAATTTTCTTATTGTTTTTTTTTTTTTTATAAGCCCATCAAAATTGCTTGCAGGTGCTTGGGGATCAAAAAGCAGATTACTAAATGAAATTTTACTGGAATGCGACGTTTCGAATAAATCGAATATCAATAATTAATATTGATGTATTCGAACCGTCGCATTCCAGTAAAATGTCATTTGGTTATCTGCTTTTTTCATCTCCAAGCACCTGCAAGAAATTTCGTTCGTCTCATCGAAAAAAAAAAAACAATAAGAAAATTATTAATAAAAGTACGATCTTGTCTGCAATCAAACCTGTATAATATTAATGTCTGAATATTTAACCAAATAATACATTATAAAAAATCCAAAATCACCGTAGCCCTTAAACAAGGTGTAATTTTATATTTATTACACCTAATTACACATATTAGCAAAAATCAGTACCGTGCGTTTATTTCATAGTTAAAGTGAACAAAAATTGAAACTAAATGAAAATTATTAAATCAAAATTCTATCAATTTGGCGTAGTGTATCATACATAATTTATCGGTTCTCACTTTCTTAAAAAAAAAGTTTTACAATTTATGCATATGCATCACTGGAAACTTTCCCCATTCATATATAAAAATATTAATATTAAGTAGATTTCAAAGTTGCTCAAACATGGTGATTTCGAAGGTTATTAAAAATCAAATGTTACGGTTATAATTTTAATTACACAAACACATTTTTACAAACAAATATCGCCGGTCTTGCAAAAGTAGCGTAAACGTATCCAAAAAAGTAAAGATTTTGAAACATACATAAATTATTGAACATTAAAAAACAAAATATTATACGGGAGTAAAAAAAATATTGGCATTCCTTTTCATAGATTTGTCACTCGAAGGATTTTCTCTTGCTTGTTGTCATCGAAGTTGCGGTTAATGAGGCCAAGAGGGCGCTGTTATGTTGATCAGCTGTTGTTATATTTTTAAATGTAGAAAAACCAATTGCTCTTATCACAAAGATAACTTATAAATCGCATATAGCTTCATCAAATGTTGTTCAAAAATTTAATCGAAAAAAGGTAAGACGTGAATATAACTGTCGCCCACTGTTTGTTGGCAAATTTTTTGATAGCTTTGTTTTCTATTGTCGCTTGGACAGGGAAAGATGGAGTTCGAAGTGACATCATTGACATGGATCGTCAAATGCGAAGATGACATATCGAATTATTAGTTAGGATTATTGATGTGATTTTATGAAGGTGATTTATTATATTTGTATTGAAATAGTAAGCATCCAATTCCAGATAATTAAGTAATACTATTTGTTTTCTATTTTGTGATACTTTTTTGTTCATAGCCTACTAGGAATTTATTTGCTCAACAGTTAGCTACACAAAAATATTGGATGCAATTTGAGGCACGTCTTGACGTCTTGTTCTGTGTAATTAATTTTTTTTGCAAACATATATGTTTTGTATTTACTGTAAAATACTTTTTGTTTGGCAATTATTGTTTTATGGAGTTATTTGGAGTAGGCCTACTTCAAATAAATTATGCAGATCAAGAAAAATGTTCTAAAATTTTACTTAATTTTTGAGCCCTTAATGAACTTTCAAGGTAAAATCTACAGAAAAAAAAAGTATTTGATCTGCGCTACTCCATACTCCATAGCATAGCTTTGGTCAGATCAGAACAGTCAGTGAGTGACTGTGAGTCAGACATTCACATTGCATGAAATTTTTGCCTTGAGAATTGAAATAAAATTGTTATTGTAACTTGAATAAATTTGGTATGCAATTGCTAATTCGTTTTAAGTTTTCATCTCAGAAATTAGATAGGGTAAACGCAGTATATTCCGACACATTAAGGACGCATCGAGAAATGAAAAACTATAAAAAACCGTATGCGTTACGTAAGTTCTGTTGCCTTCACATGACTCTCAAAACACTTCACTACGCGTCAGCAACAATGAAACATCACAAAATGTTGCCATATTTATTAAAAAGCCTTTAGAATGGAAACCTACCAAATCCCTATATTCCGTCACTTTGTGTGGCAATATTCGACACGTGGTGAGTCGTATTGCGTCAGCGCTTCAAATTTAACTGATACGTATTGCCGACATCCACGTGTTCGAATTCCGTTTGCTGTGTGAGCTGTATTGGGATACAACACGGCTTTGAATTAGAACACTAACGAATATTGAACACTACTTAATTACGTAATTAACAGCTATTAGGCTTTTAATTAAGCAAATTTCAATTTTTGTACAAAGCTTTGAACGATCTGTGTGTGTCCAATTCAAGTTGTGTCGGAATTAGTTTTTTTGTGTCGAAATCCAACATCTCAACTTAATCATCTATTAATTTATTTAAGACTTGAAATCAGCAAATACAAGTATACTTGAAGGATTCCTAATACATTCACAGACGTATTTAAAAGTCTCAAACCATAACATTCTTCCTATAAAAACAGTTATTTACTATTTGGTAGAGCCATGTCAACTGTCAAATTTGACACATTTTTCGATGATCTCACCAAGTGGCATGCATTGTCTCTCTTTGGATCTCAATATTTTCCCACTAGATGGCCAAGACCTAGTGTTTTGGCAGTATTTTGACTCGCAAATGCATGACGTCACCATTTCAACCATCAACAAACGCATGGAACTAAAACAAAGCTTAATATAAAGGAAAAGCTGGAGAGGTGACGGAATTACCTACGATGTCGGAATATACTGCGTTTACCGTATTAGGTTATTTGGGTACCTAATATTGTCGATGATATTGCTTGATGCTTGTCATTGTGTAATATTGTTAGAATATTGGGTTAAATTTTCTAAAATTGTTGATGAAAACTATAATCTTAGAAGCCATTTTTAAAATTACAAGTAAAATGGATAGTTTTTTTTATTACTATGAAATGTTTTTATTTTTTTCATTTAAGTTTTTTTTTATTTTTGTGAAATGCAAATGTTTTTCTTATTTGTATTAAGAAATATTTTATTTTCATGAATGAATAGGCAAGGGCCATAAAAGTGGGTGAAATAGACTGCAAGCTTTCTCTCATTCATGTTATTATCTCATTCATAGCTGGTATTTGCCTGATCCAAAATATACTGTGAGCAGCCAGAGCAGACATTAGGTTTCATAGTGTGGCACAAACATTGTAATATTATTTCTAGGGTCATCTGGTCATTGAGCATCCACATGCCAGTCGTTAGTCATTAGGTTTACCCAGTCGTTAGTTGGTAGGTTTCTTCAGTCGGTTGGTAAATTGACTATAAAAATACTATTCTAAGTCTATAAAAATAAGGGCATAACCTACTGAATATGTCTATGTACATCAGATTGTTTATATGCAACAAACCTTACAGATAGCGCAATAATGGTTAAATTTTTTAAACCAGCAGTGCCTTCTTTACTCCTGAACTTGCCGCTACTCTGATCTGAAGTATTGAGTGTAATCAAATACAAGCTTTCCCTAAGCTACAGAGGGCACACCTTTCTCAGAACTGCTTGCTCACTTTCAAATACTCCATTACCAGAGACAAACCCTCAACTCTTTTTAATATATAGTGGCTTGCATTCAACGTATGTGAGCCACTCACTAATGCGATTGGCAAGTTTATTATTCTCTCAAGAATATCCAATGAATACCAGTTACAAGGTAAAAAAATTAAAAGTACGGATTTGCATCTCTGTTGTCTACGCATGTACCGGTACTGCAAATAGAGACACAAAGTATTCCTAAGTCATTCACTTGGAATGAACTTCAACTAACGATAAAATGATTTAAATGTAAAAATCATGAAAGTATTATAAAGTGATGTGATTTGCTATTTTTATCAAATTTGCAATGTATATGTTGCCATTATGGTATTGTCTAGAACTGGAAATTATAAAAGAGTATTAAGATTCAGATGCAGTAGCTAACTGAAAAACAGAATAGGTATATTTTATTTATGGTACCCAATTTTACAGTAGAAATTTCTTTCCAAGGCCTGTGGTTATGCATTCTTTCAACTATGCTCATTAATTTGATGCAGCACTGTACAATGAGTGAGCTAGCTTCCTGACATACACTTTGCTTAAAACTTTATAATCACTCGCATGCAAATCTCCATTGATACTTGTAATATAATATATAATGTATACAATTTCTGCAAGATCATCAGCTATGCCGCTATTCAATTAGACAAGTCCAGAAATAGTTATCACTCAAGTAGGTGGTTTTGGGAATCACACATCCAATGTATAAAATTATATTTATCAGCCAGAAGAGGCAGGCTGAATTTCTGAAATGGCTAATGCATCAACACTATAAACACAGAAAATTTCAAATCAAATAACAAGAGACAAATCTATTATAGAAACTATACTAAGAAAAACTGCACCAATAGTTTTCAGATATCCGCATCAGATCATTTCACAATGATTTTTTAGCATTATCAACTGTAACTGACAATTAAATAGAAAAAAATATCCATGCAGCACATTTCAATTTATTTAATTGATTGAATTGTTGTAGTTTGAAAAATCACTGAAAAGGCCAAAAAGTATGAAGCTCAATATCTGTTGGCAAATACCAATTATAATTCAATCTGTTTCAATATTTAACTGGCCAAAACAAACTTAGTGGAAGTGAAAGGGCTGAAGAAATACTAGACCAGATAAGTTTAGGCAACTATTTCTACTAGACAACATGAACTTGCTACAGTAAATTTGTTAAAGTCAAGATAATCAAAAAATGTCATAGTTAATCTATAGGCTTCTATTGTAATGAAATTTCTAACAAAGATTAATTTTTCAACAGACAAGTTTTGGACAAATTCTTTGTCCTTTCCAAATCTTTGCTCTGCATTTAATCACAAACAAGAATGTACTAAAGCCTTTTGCACGTGTTTAGAGCACACCATTTTTTCAGATTGGTGCTAAATTCTCAAGTTACATGGCTGATCATTAGACATTATCAAAACCTATTGTCCAAGAATCAGTGACCAAAAATTATATCCAAACTTTGGACATGATTCCATTGAACCCTTGCACTCTAACCTTTTGCTTGTTTCTATGTAATACATATTTATACCATGATAATCTCATTCACTAATTATAGGTACTTATGTAAACAAAAGTTACTGATTTTTATGAGAAGAGCTAGAAACCATAGGGAAAGAAATAATTTTGAATAGAATGTCAACCTGAAATCTCTGAGTTTGAGGTCCATAAATTTATTACTTGCTACCATCAGCATGTTACAAGTATAATGCACCTTTCTGAAAGGAATCAGTAAGGAATTGACAAGTACTGCATAATAATTTCTATTGTTTGCATGCTATGCTCAAAAGATAATTAAAACTTATAAGGGGAGCATCTGGCAGAAATTTCATCTCAGCTATTTACAGATGGATCTTTTTGAAACTTGGTGCACATGTGTAAAACAGAATAATAGATGGTTTTTATTCATGTTGTAGCTGCGTGTCTCCTGCGGGTGAGGCAAACACGTTTCCTACTTCTACTTGATAGGTTGGCAACAACCTACTTGGGAAGTGGATAATGATGAGACTAAAATTGATCTTTTATTATTGACAAATGAAACAGGATTTAGATTACAGTTCAATTAAGTAGCTCTTGGTTATGAAATGAATAAGTGTTGCACATAACTGAGTGAAGAATGGCCTAGTATAGGAGCATGGAACTAACAAGCATAGTACGTAGCTAAGAAACTGAGGAGCATGGACAAGATGCATATGTGATCTGCCATAAAAGAAAGTAAAACTTATTAATTTTATGCTTCATAGCCCTAAGACTACCTATAAGATAAAGAATTGTATTAAATATAAACAAGCATTAAATCAACAAGCAGAAAATAATAATAATCAAGAACCTTTATGATGATATCAAACTTGCATTGCAGCAAACAGCTTAATGAAGAATTAATGAACACCAAAATGTATAGTTTTCAGAATTAAAACACACTGAACATGCAATTAATAGAAAATAAGAAACAAAGCAAAATCACAAAGTATAAACAATTTGTAATATAACATCAATTGAGTAATGAAATGAATATATGCAAT